GTTTTTTTCAGGTAACAAAGTTGATGTAGTGTTTTAAGCCTCTGCTGTAATATATTAAAACATGGAAGAGCTTATTTACTGTGGAGGGTCTTACCATTACCACCATGTCCATTGTTTTATACTTTTATTTATCAATTATTCCTGATTCCTTCAGATGGGGAAGTTACAGCTAGCTACTTTTAATTAATGCTTTTAACTAATGCTTGAGACTAGAGATACAAAAAGGGCAGTGAGCATTTCTCCTTAGAGGCTATGTTACTTCTGTGATCCAGTATTACTTTACATTTCTTATACCACATTTTAATATGGTTGTTTAATCCTTCCAATAGTTCTTTGTCTTCTTCCCCCTCAAGTGGCAGAAAGCAAAGAAAATCCCCCAAAATTCTTTTATTTATTACTTGCCTTTATTGCTTGCTCACCTGCCAGGCAGGAGCATGACCCCGAAGGTTGCTTTTGGGAAGAATATACTATTTTTAGATAGTTTGAAGATGTATGCTTTTAAAGCCCTCTTGAGGTCATGGGGACTCTAGATATTAACAGACAAGAAAAGCAACAGTCTTTCCCCCAAGACTGTGCCACAACTGGCACTACTCCTTATGAAATAAAATATAAAAAACTGAGTCAGAAAGCTTCTACCAGACCAAATCAGCATGAACTTTAACCAGAAGAGCTAACCTTCTAATGAAATTTTGCATCTGACTCCAGTATTAAAGGACTTTGCAAAGTCTGTGCCCTTCCTTGCTAGGAGGGATAGAACAGGATATGCTTCGAGGGAAGGGCGCACATTTGCACCTATTTATTTAGAAAATTTACACCCTTCCATTCTGCTTTATATGAAACACATGAATAAGCATACATAAGCTCACAGTGACTCTGAGAACAGCAGGTATACATTCAGTTATTTTGCCTGCCACATCCCAAGAACACAGAGCTGCTCACAAAATAGAATATGAAAAAAGGCCAGAGTAATAACTTTAAAGCCTGATACAGGTCAGTTTTTAACTCTGGCCATACATAAGTGACGGACACAACAGCTTCTGCCAGTGATGGGAGGAAAAAGAGCTATCAGGGGGGTTGCACCCCTCCCTCCCATGAAAACCTTTATTGCAAGGCACTTAACTTGGGCATAGCCATGATTTGTTCATTCTATTTAATGCTCTTTTGTGGGCTCAGAAAATCTTATTTTAGGGAGAAGAGTGGAGAAGCAGAGCGGTCTCTCTGGGGTATGGATCGAAAAATGTGCAACTGAGGCAGTGAGCAGGAAGAGCATTCCGTGAAGTATCTCCATTGCTTGCCTGTGAATTTCCTGCTGCCTGTCCACTTCATGACCTCTCCCTTGTCCTGAGCCTTTTCTGTCTTGCACAAAGAAGTGGAGTTGTCCTGCTTGCTACCTGGGAGATCAGCTTCCAGCCAACTCTCCTCAGTGTCCAGCTGGTCCCTGACATCCCATTAGTCAGCCACATTAGGCAGTGGCTTTAAAGCTTTTACCTGGCTTGCCATATCCCCTGCTTCTCTAGTCCTGGGGAAGATGGAGGGGGGGATCTAAGAGCCATCCAGTTATCTAGGAAGCTGGCATAGTGACCTCTGGTGCTCAAGCAGAGGTATCTGGATCCATGTTTCTTCAGGGAGGGGCCTGCTCCCATTCCTCCTCCTATGAGGAGTCCTTAGGTTTGAAATCTGGACACAAATCCCTTCCTTGTCCACACAGGTATATCCCAAGAGCAGAATGAGTTAACTTTTTAAAAAATAAAAAAGGCTAATTCCATGGAATTATTTTGTAAAACTTAGAACTCCCCGTCAGGAAACACCCTCATATAATAGAAAGATAATTTAATAAAGTAGTCTCTCAGCACGTCTATGAGATTGTCACAGAAGGCAGCATCTAAGCAGTCACAGACCATGTTATTCACAGAACAAATCAGTGGGTGGGTGGGTGGGTGGGTGGGTGTGTGTGTGTGTGTGAGAGAGAGAGAGAGAGAGAGAGAGAGAGAGAGAGAGAGACCAGTTGCAATAAGTATTTTAATTTTTCTGAATATATAGAGCATGTCAATTACCAGGGGCAGCACATCCCATTTTGCTGCCTGAGGCAAAAGAGGAATGTGCCACCTGCCCCATTGGCACCCCACAAGCTGCAGCGGGTGCCGCAAGCCTCTGTTATCTGTATTGTGTGGAGGTGTCCACAAAGTACCAGCAGCAGTGCCAGTTTCTGGCAAGATCTCACTGAAAACTGGTGCTGCTGGTGGCAGCACTTCTACACTAGCAGTGGGACTTTCGTTGCTCGAGGCAGCTGCCTCACTCTGCCTCATTGGTGGGCCAGCCCTTTCAATTACAGTGTTGCTCAGGAAGCTCTTTGACCCACTTCAATACTCTTAAACAACCCATTTTAACAGAACAGTGATTTCAACATTACTGCTAAAAAGCAAGCCAGCACTATATTTGACATTCAAATATATTTCCAATTAATGCTTCTGAAGGCGCACTTGTTTATTCTTGCATTATGTACATAAGGTATTTTATATCCTCTCAGGTAGGTAATTGAACCATTTTATTTGAGGAAGTAAAGCATAAAATAGTACTGAAGTACTCCTGAAATACATACAAATACCAAGTTATAATCTAATTAACATAATTATATCTGAAACCATTTTTACAAAAGGCATATGACAATTTAGTAGGAGTTATTATTTTCAATTAAGTGTTTGTTATTTGTTCTCTCCTAAACAAATACAGCAAACTCCCCAGGAAGAAAGGCCATTCCTTTCCATACAGTTATTTTCAGCTGTGGAAATAACAGAGTACAGAGGAATTCTTCTACAAAGCAAGAGAGGAATATTTCAGAAATGAATGTTCTGCTCTTTTCCAACAGCAAATATGTAATAAGGTCAAATAAGCAGCATTTATTTAGACAAATGCTGACTGAGTGAAGCAAAACAGCACATCACTGGTCAAGTATCAGCGTTAAAATGTAATGCAGAAAAAATGAAGGGTATGTTAATTTAGATAACTTCCAATGCTGCATACCATCATTACATGAAAAGCCATTATTTAATAGAACAACCACAATTCTATGTTTCAAGAGAAGTCACATCTAAAAATTGAAATTAGAATCTATGGTACTTCCTTATAAGTGTGTAGACTTTATAAACTCATTCTCTACTACCTCAGACTCTGTACCATGAAAATGGACAAAAATATTGTTATATGTTTCATTTCCATACCTTTCATACTGAAACACTCTGTACATGTGTGAGGGGACTAGAATTTGAGTGGAGAAAGAAATATTATGTTCATGTCTTTTTGCGGTTTTCCTGTAGTCACTGTGGGAATAGAGTGCTAGACTAGAAAGGTCTTTGGTGTGGTCCAATCTGGCTGTTTTACTTTCTTACTTGTTAATTGACTGAACACTCCACGTTGCAATGTTTTGCTTCAGATACTACTTGATGCTATAGTTCTAAGTGTATGAAGTTTTTTAATGTGATGTTATACACATAAATCTCACTATCCCCATGTTTTCTCATACATAATTACATACGCTAAAATATTTCCAATCCTACATTTATAGTGCACATTCCAGAACTCAACAAAACAGTTCTATCTTGCGGCAAAGTCAGCATTTCCTAGCCTGCCTACCTTCCTTATATTATTATTATTATTATTATTATTATTATTATTATTATTATTATTATTATTATTACTAGCTCTGTCAGCTTGTCCATTACAGGCAGTTCTGTACATTTCATCAACTATTCCCACTTTGTGGGGGCCTGCTGGCATTTCCATTTTCTTGTCCATACAATTTTGGCAATACTGACAAGTGATTTCAGATTTATAGTTACAATATCCCCATCTACACAGGGCTAGGTCTCAATATATGCTCTATTATATCTGAGATATTTTTAGTTATTTGCCACCAATAATTTGTGACAATTGGGCATTCCCATCACATTATGTAATAAATGGACATTTCCCACAAAACATTCCCAACATTCAGAGCCATTAACTGGGTGGATTTTATTTAACCCTGCAGGTGTTAGATACCACCTCAGTAATAATTTATATTGTGCATCCCCAACTGGCAGACTTGATGAGATTTTATCTACCTGTCTCCAAATCTGATTTCATTGAGGAACTATTCCATCTCCATGCTTTCATAACTAAATATATCTATCAGTTTAAATATATATTTTGAAATAAGCACAGGTACTTAGTACTTTCTTATTATCTCTAATGAAGTGTCAGGCCCAAGCTTCTTCTTTGGTTTTGGAGCGGTGGGGTGAAAAAGTTAACACTAAGATTAAAATAGTCTTCAGGGCCACACCAAGACTGAATACTTTTTGAGGACAGCCTTACCATTCCATTGACCTGCAAGATGACTTTCAAAAACATAACCCCCTCCCCCTATAAAATAGTGGTGGTGCAAAAGTTGATTCTATTGCTAACATTCCTCTAACTTAGAGATTTAGTACCAACTGCAACCTGAAGCTCCATCACCCAATTTAAAAAATCCTACACAGTATGCCAATCTATGTTTTACTCGTTATCATGATGAGCTTCAAATACACACACCAATATACACATTCCTTTAGTAAGCTACTTGAATGCACATAATAGAACAAAATAATAGAATGTCTTTTTTAAAAAACATACCCCAGTATTTGAAACTAGTGTATTATTAAAAAAATGTGACTGCTTCTTTTTCTTAAATAGACTACTTAAATGGAAAAACTATACTAAAATGTGCTCCCAGCTGAGGTTTTATAGGAAAGCAAGTAAGGCAATTCAAAATTACAGCTCCCCCAGTAAACATAATTCAGATAAACTGTACATGTTTAGTACTATTATATACAGTAACCGACAACAGTTATGTGAAAGGCCCTGAATTACTGTATCTTTTGAAAACAATTTTGGATTATTTGACTGTAGTGCAAATAAACTCCTTGCAGCAATGTTACATAAACATTAGTTCCTTGAATAAACAAATATTTGAAAATATAACTCACCAAGCTAGCTGTCAGAGAAGGTGCTGACTGCCCAAGAGCTTGACTGCGCATTCGGACAAGATTGGAAGTTTCTCCAGTTTGCCATGACTGTTGTGTAACAGCATTTGGCAGCAAGTACCTACCTGTCGAAAGTTTAGGTGGAAAAAAAGTTGTCAGTACACAGCCTCTTGCACAGTTAATGGTCTGCAATATTAGTCCATGCAACTCACTGTAAATGGACAAATTTGGTCTGACTTAGCAAGATTTAAACCTCGAATGCTCCTCATAAGCTTCTGAAATAGATACTCAGCTAGCCTTAGATATATGCACATACTCCAGGTAATAAATCTTACTGTGCAAATACAAATATAAATACAAACTTATCCCATTCTGAGAATTAAGTAACTGATGAACAAAAGAAGAAATGAGAGACTTGTGAATAGGAGGATTTTTTAGTTTATTTATGATTTGACCCATTGTTCCTAATGCCTTCTCTTTTTTTAACTTGCACTAAGAATTAATTTTGATCCCTTGGGTGTTCTTTCTCTCTACTTACTTCCTTTCTCCTGTTTCTTGCCTTTTTAGAAAAAAAAGACTTGCTTTACTCATTTGGGACCTATCTAGTACATTTCTTACCCAAGGTAGATATACACACAGAAACCCCACCACCACCACCATAAATAAGTCAGAAATTAAATCGTTATAACAAAAGGGGGCTGGAGTGATGTAAAAATCGCTTTTGCTCTCTGGCGCCATCTGATGTTGCATGTTTATAACTAATTCAAAACATGTTTTTTTGACTAATGTAGCTGAGTCCCCAGACTCTGGCACAAGGAACCTTCATCAAGAAGCTGTTTCCAGGAGAAGTGCTGCGAGGGGAGAAAGACTCAATATTGACCATTGGGGGGTACTACCTACTTTACTTCATCTTCTAGCCCTCGGAGCCTTCAAAAGTAAACACTGAGCCTGTTGGGTCTACATACAAAAGGGGGGTTGCTATTCTGTTTTGTTGTTGTTGTTGTTGTTGTTGTTTAGTCGTTTAGTCGTGTCCGACTCTTCGTGACCCCATGGACCAGAGAACGCCAGGCACCTCTGTCCTCCACTACCTCCCGCAGTTTGGTCAAACTCATGCTGGTAACCTCGAAAACACTATCCAACCATCTCGTCCTCTGTCGCCCCCTTCTCCTTGTGCCCTCCATCTTTCCCAGCATCAGTGTCTTCTCCAGGGAGTCTTCTCTTCTCATGAGGTGGCCAAAGTACTGGAGCCTCAGCTTAAATCACTTAGAGATCTATTATTATTAAAATGTGTTTCTTTATTAATGTACTTATGGTAACACCATGAGATTTGGACTACCTTGGGATGTGAATGTATTGAATATTGCTGGTAAGTTTTATGCTTACTTTGATATATTTTAAGTGAATTGTTAATTTCTGCAGTCATGTTATAACTTTAATAAGTATTATACCTGTGTATTATTATTGTAGACTTATTTTCTGTGAACCACCAACTATTCGTGGAGAATGCATTATATAAGTAAACTGATTGACTTAAAGAAAGATATAGAGCAGCTGTTTTTAAGTAAACAATTAAAAAGATTGCCTGGTGCATATATATGCCTATATGTTTATGAACACATATGTGATATTAGGGCAGTTGGCTAGAAGACAGTCTGTAAGAAAAAATGTACATTCTAGGTAAATCACCACATTTTCAAAAATAACTTTAAAACTGAACTGTTCTTGGCTGCTGAATACATGCTTGACTGCTGAATCCTAATGGGAATTATCCCCCTTTCTTTCCAGAGACATGGAAATGGCTTTAAAAACAACTATTATCACAATCTAGACACTATCTAACCAGAACTAAAGACTTAAGGCCCATTAATTTCATTACTGATTTATTATTTTTTAAAAAGAGTAAAAGCTTAAGGCTACAATCCTATGCACCATTACCTGGATTAAGTCCTACTGACCTCTGAGTAGACATGCCTAGGATTGCACAGTAATTCTCCCATTGATATGAGTCTTAGAAGTACTTAACTTTGACTGTATCATGCTATGTATTTAAGCTCAGTAATGCAGGAAGTAAATGTTAAGATAATCTGCATCAAACAATGATTTCTTCAAATGACTGTATTTAACTTGAAGGGTAGGAGCAGTAAGAGGATAAATCCCTTCTCAATCTGATCACCAGAGACCCCAGAAACTAAGACTCTAAGACATCACTTTTATTAGTACAAACTGTTGTAGCGCCAGCAGGGTGAAAAAAGAAATATGTAAATGTTAGTGTTTGTTTTTACAATAATGTATGCAGAATTAATGCAACCATCCCCATTAGACTTAATAGAAAAATAAAACAATTGATTAATTTTAAAACCATTGTTATGAAACCCTTCATTATTGTTATCTTGGTTCCTTGTAGTTACATCAAGAAACTTTATTTAAATCCAGTTTGGGAGGAATACCAGCAGGCATTTAAAAAGCATGTTGCTGTTTAATTCATGCATCATTTGCTGCTTACAACTTAAGGAAATTAGCATCTGTCAAGTGTATTACTTAGCTGCATATGGTTAAAATTAACGGACAATGCTTCTTTCCCTGCCAGATTTAAAAGAGAGATAAACATTTTCCCCCAATCTGTCCATTAAAGCTGATATAATTCAATCAAAGCTAGAAGTACAGATGACTTAATTGTGCTGTCCTTGGCCATTGCATTGTACAGAACCCCCATTAACAAAATTCAGCACTTTCATGCCCCTTCCTCCACACAGTAATAAAACCTATCTAGCTCATATTATTGAGGTGCTAAAATATCCTCAATAGTTTGGAATAATTGCCCAGTTAACATTTACAATTAGTGTTATTTTAATTCCTTGCTCTTTCAGAATGACTACTGCTATTTCACTATGATCTGTAATAAAGGAAGAAATGTGTTTCAGCTGAACCTTTAAGCCACAATTAATGCCATAAACGTCCATCAATGAAAACTCTTCAGAAATAGCTTAGAGAGTGGCACAAGCATGCTACTTTGGACAAAGTGGCCTGTTTCTTAAACAAAGGTTTTTCAAGTTTCATGCATTTATTCTTCCAGTTTACAGCACATGTACTGAAACTGCCTTAAATTACATCCAGGCTGGGGAATCTTTGGCCCCATAATGTTGCTGTACTAGAACTCCCATCAGGCCCAGCAAGCACAGCCAATGGCTAGGAAGAAGGGAGCTGTAGCTCAGCAACATCTAGAGAACCACAGGTTCCCCACCTCTGAGTTACACAAACACCAAAGCAACTTTCACAAATTTCAATTAAAACAAGAAGCATTGGGGGAAATAACATTCTGCCCCAACAGCACAAAAACACAGGAATAGTTCCTCTGCTTCATCACTCCAAGGATCTATCTTGTCCAGGATCCTGCTGTCAACTACCCAGTCAGAAGCCTACAAGCAGGGCATGAACACAACAGGTATTGAATGTTTGTTCTCAGTGCATGAGATTCAGCATCTGCCTCTGGACACGGCTGTTACATTATTCTGCTATCATAGCTAATTGTTCAATTCTTCTTTAGAGTCATCAAATCACATCTTATGGCAGCAAACGTCATAATTTATATATGTGTTGTGTAAAAAGCTACTTTCATTTATCCATCCTGAACCTAATGTTAAAGTTAATTATACTGGATTCCACTGCTATCTGGGGATCAGCTGGAGGTCAGGGAGTGGTATTCCCCATCACTCACTCTATACCACTCAGTTTTGTATTTTCATGGTTTGTTCTTGGCTAGACAAACCACAAACCAGGATTCAGACACGACACTAAACCAAACCATGGCTTAGCTCAGGATAGTACAGGATGAAGGGAGATGCGAAGCAGCCACAATGTTTGCTCCATGCATTCATATAAACGTTAACTCACACTTAGCCATTGTTTGGCTTAGCATTACATATAAACTGAGCCACTGACTTAAACGGCATAGAATTAGTTAGACTGCATTTTATTGCCTGAAATAACTGCCTGAAATTGCTACACAGCATAGTAACCAAATTAAAGGCATTTCACCTTTATTTTTATTTATTATATATAAATAAGGTAAAGTCAATTTCAGCATCCTAAAACTTCTTAGCATAATGAACAAAAACATTTAAGTTACTACAATGCAATACAGCTCTGTAATAAGTAATAGAAAGGAAATAAAGTCACACATTTTAGTTCACTTTGAACCTAGTTAGACACAGCACTCTTCACCTCCAGCCCATTTAGAAAGCCATTATTTTCTATCTTGAATTCCACTTTCAGCATAGCCTACTAAGCCTGTGGAGCATTCTCAATTCTGACAATTTAAGCCCGAGCCCAAGTGATTGTATAAAGCCCTTTGAAGTTACTTCAGCTCATGAAACCCATTCACTGCAGCAAAGGAGCTTTGCAGTTAACCAGTTTTCATGCTTCATGACAGGAATAAATCATGCAGCTTTGTTTTCTGCATTTAATATTTTAATAAAGGGAAATCAAGAGCCTTGACTCAGTTCGGCAGCGAATTATAACCAATTAGTTTGAACATATAAATTGCTGTTGATATATTTAATTTAAATAGAGAATTTGTTATTAAAATATATGGTGGTAATTCAGAAACTAACAGCAAAATGGCTACCCACGCTGTACATTAAAAATTGTCGACAGTCTCCTAATACACTTAAATTTAGAATTCATGAATAATTTTATGAAGTGACATGACTGACAAGCTTCTCTCTTGAGATCTATAGCAGCTTCCAGAAAGGCAAGTAGCTAAGAATGTGAAAGTGGCAGGGAGAATCTAGTGAAAAAGTATATAGTTAATTTGACTTCAGAATTCTTCCTTCTCCACCATCAACAGACTTATTGGAAAATGGACAAGTCTCAAACTGACAAAGTTGAGGGGAAATAACTAAAGGTGGAGTACAGAAGGATCAAGTTGTCTGTTTGTGGTAACTGATAATTTCCACTGTAAAGAATTTGCAAAAATGAACATGTTATCCATGGGAAACTAGAGTTTTACTCTAACAACAACAAAAAGGTGTTTATAACACACACAAAATCACATTATACGCATCACTCTCCAAATAGATAGCTGTCACTTCTGCTGGGCATGTTGACATTTTCTGCAGGACATTTTAAGATTCCACTGCTTGGTTTCTGAGTGGCACAACACAGCTCACTCTCAGCATGTATCTTCTATAGGCATCTGACACTGGAAATGGAGTTCTGATTCCTGAGACACACCCACCCCCCAGGAGCCACAGCAGTACATTCTTAGTGGAATTAAAGGTCCATTGAGTAACATCTACTTTATGTAAGTAAAAAAAAGAGCAACCCAAAAGCTACCATGGTAGTAAATTAGCCTTGCATGTAAGGCCACAAAAGTTACTAACATGCTTTTTTCTTTTTTCTTTTTACTAGCCTGCTGGGGCTGGCAGAAAAAGGACAGGGCTTCATCATTTTGCAAGAGCCAGCTGCAGTTCTATACTAGGTACATATGACACACAAAGTGTTCTGCCATTCTTCTACCAGCCTGCTCACTTGCCTGCATACAATTCCTTCTCGCCTATGACTAAGAAGCTAGTGTATATATCAGTGACAGGGGCCAAATGTGCCCTTCCACACAGTCTAGCTGGCCCTTGGGACTCTTGCCACATCACCCCCCTCACTGGCCCTGCTCTGCACTTTCCTTGAGTAATTCTGCCTGGCTGGGGTGTGTCATTGATTTCTTATAATGATTCCCTGCTTACTTGGATGGGAGGGAGGGGTAGAGAGTTGTGTGTAGAAACTAACCTTCTGATCAAAGGCAAAATTTACATTTGTTGCTCTGCTGACTTTTGTCTCCAGTCCCACCCACCACTGACATACAGTCTCAGGAAGTTACCCAGAAAGGAATGCAGGCTTCACTAAATAATGGGCTGCAATAACCAGTACAATGGATTTTGGTGGGGAGCAGGAGTAATTGCTAATCTTACTTTACAGAGACAGAATCGTGGAGATTCATTAAAATGACTCATGGAGATATCTGTCTCTGTTATCCTCTCTAAGTCATCTGTCTATAATCAGTACACAAAACTCTGAGCTTGACCGGTGTCTGTTCATATAAATTTTTAAGATCAGGCGTGTTTTCTATAGCAGAGCATTTTTTTTTAATACTAAGTATGTATGGGAATATATCCATCCTTGGCTATATGGACATGCCATTTTCCTTACCAGTCAGAGCTCCTCCAAGACTTCCTCTTCTAAATGGTCTCCCATCTTCACTGAGTTGCCTTTTAAATTTCAGTGGCTTGCTGGGGCCAGAAGAAACTTCAGGGTTGCTGGATTTCCGAAATGGCATAGATGGAGGTGACAATATACTATCAAGCTGTAAAAAAAAAAAAAAAAGCAGAGATGCTGGAGTTAAAAGCCATTCTCAACTTGAAATATAGGCAACCTCCATTTACATGAGGATTATGTTTGTGGCTTCCACACATGTTGGTGGAACGTGTGTAACCTCACTCCGGCCACTTCCGGGTTGTGGCGATGTGCACATGCACGATTGTGCATGCACTGAGGAAGCATAAAATGGTAGTTGTAAAAGATAGGCCATTTGTATGTGTGTAAAAAAGGACGCTTGCTAGCGTCAGAGAACACCACATTGCCTTAAGCTATTTAAAGAAGGAGAGAGATGGAATGCTAGCAAACCTTCATCTGCCCACAGGCGATATGTTCCCCATACGCACACACACACTTACAAATGAAATTGAAAGCAATTTGAAGGAGGACTATCTGGTCATTGTTCACATCTCATTTTTGCACTTGGAAAGGGCAAGATAAAATACAATTACCGTAAATATAGTAAGTTTACATCGTATCAAAAACCTACAAAGCCTATTTGAATTGAGATGACAAAATAAATGGCTGTGCAATGTGGAGAGATGCAACTCTTACACCACTTTCAATTATTTAAAAAATATTGTTGGTCAGCTTTTGTTTGAGCTACCTCTGTCACGAATCTGGGTGCCAGTACATTGGCAGCTTTATGTTTTCCAAATGTTTCTCATTATTATTTGTCAATGCTAATCAAAAACAGTTCTGAATATACAATTAGTACGGTACTGTTGTTATTTCAGGATGAAAGCATAGACTGGCTATACTTAAGCCTTGTTCATGGAATTTTAACTGGTAGCTATATATGCAGAAAAGTTCAAAATGCAGGTGACCATGCAATAAAGTCCTTTGCTGCAGTAGGCTTCTCTACATGGGAATTGGAACTTTGAATGGGAGAGAGAGAGAGAGAGAGAGAGAGAGAGAGAGAGAGAGAGAGAAGAGTCGATAGAGGGAGAGATGTAACAATTATTATTCATAAAGGATAAAAACAATACCAAGGCAGGTTTGCAAGCAAGTACTTGCCTGCTAGCCTCAGGCAGAGTAAAAAAAGATTCCTAACAGGCGATGTCTGCTGCCTTAGAGCACCCAATTTACAACAAATATATGGTATGAGAATGTAGATATTTTATTTTTATTTTTTTAAACTAAAATCCATTGAACATCCTCAGTATAAGCCTACTTTTTCTCAGTGGAGTATTTTTTCACCAGAAGTCTCCTGGTTTGTTTTATGAAGTAAAAGGTGATCACACCAAATTGCAACTAGTTAGGCTACATGACCTTATCTTTTGTGTAACATTTCTTGTCCCTGGACCAAGTCATTGTCAAGTGTGAAGTCGCCTGGAATGTTAGCAGTTTACGTTCAGAGTACAATCCTGTGCACACTTACCAATCAAACTTAACAAAGCTTACAAAGTAAACATACATAGGGCCATATGTTATCTGACTATATGTTGTTTCCTTCACTAAGAGGGAGAAAATGGTATGGGAAACTTCTTTTCATACAACTCTTTAAGCTTTACTATTGTTGCATGCCACCCCAATCTCCAAGTGGTGCAAGATTCCAGGGGTTCCAAGCACGTACCGAGGGTTCGTGTTTGCTTTTGGAATGAGGTACAGTGGAGACTGTTTTGTCTTTGTGATATATGATTTATTTACACATATATACAACCTGAGCCTCAGTATTAACACCCCAAGAGGTCCTTGCCACAACATTGGAGTCAGTGAGAAATCAAACATTGTTTCCTCTCTCCAGCTTGCTGCTTTTCTTCTAACTTCTGAGCTGCGCTTGACTGCCTATAGAGCTATCAGACAGAATGCTGCCAATAGGTTTTACATATATTTGGGGCCTATTGCTCCAGCCTAAAATATTAACCACATTACTTGTGGATACAGAAAGCTCGCCCAATTAAGCTCAACAAAATGGAACTTTCAATTCTACACAGGGATTTCCTCTGTGAATTCTGTAGTACAGCAGTACCTTGGTTTACGAACTTAATCCGTTCTGGAAGTCCGTTCTTAAACCAAAACCATTCTTAAACCGAGACGTGCTTTTCCTCATTTGTTACCGTAGATTCTGGCGTATAAGGCGACTTTTTAACCCCAGAAAAGAGGTTAAAAGGTCGGGGGTCGCCTTATACGCCAGGTATAAGGTGGGCGGGCTCCGCACCGGGAGAAAGCCACCCGGCGAGGAGCCCGCCACCCACCGCTGCTGCTTCGGCAGCTTTCTCCTGGCGCAGAGCTGCACAGAAGAAGAAGAAAAAGAGTTTGGATTTGATATCCCGCCTTTCACTCCCTTTAAGGAGTCTCAAAGCGGCTAACATTCTCCTTTCCCTTCCTCCCCCACAACAAACACTCTGTGAGGTGAGTGGGGCTGAGAGACTTCAAAGAAGTGTGACTGGCCCAAGGTCACCCAGCAGCTGCATGTGGAGGAGCGGGGAATCGAACCTGGTTCCCCAGATTACAAGACTACTGCTCTTAACCACTACACCAAACTGGCACAGCATATTAGGCGACTGGGCTTATTAGATCAGTGTTTTTCAACCACTGTTCCGCGGCACACTAGTGTGCCGCAAGATGTTGCCTGGTGTGCCGTGGGAAAAATTGAAAAATTTGAAATTTTTTTTTTTAAAAAATGTCAAATTTTCGCCCACAGGCGGTCCGCTCTCATCCGATTCCCCATAGAGAGCAGCGGGGCTCTGACATATCCCTCTCTGCACACAGTGGTGGTGTGCCTCGTGATTTTTTTTCATGAAACAAGTGTGCCTTTGCCCAAAAAAGGTTGAAAAACACTGTATTAGATGACCCCCCCAAATTGCAGCTGCCAATTTGGGGGGTCATCTAATACGCCCAGTCACCTAATACGCCGGAATCTACGGTAATGAGGCCTCTCAGTGCCCTTCCACCGTTCGGCTTCCATTCTTAGACCGCGATAAAGTTTGCAAACCAGGACACTACTTCTGGTTTTGCAGAGTTTGTAAACCGAATCATTCTTAAACCAGGGTACCACTGTATTTATAAATCTCATGACATAAACATTGCAATATACGCATAACCACCTATAGATGAAATTAGAATGAACTGGTCTCCATCCAGCAAAGTATAAAAACTTGCTTTCATAATGTACAGACAAACATATTAAGAATATTCACTTGGATTTTAAAGCTGGGAGGAATAACATCATGAAAACACACCACTGAATTTTCATATTCTGTTTTAAGCTCCATTTTAACAATATTGCAGCAAGAGGTGGTAAAGCCACCAGATGGCACTACATAATTAACAAAACAGAAACAATTCTATGTGTCTCAAAACTTACTCTATCTTAAACTAACACCAAGTGTATTTAAAAGACACACAAAATAAATTATCTTTAGACTACACCCTCAGGGAGAAGAATTTGCATTGGCAAATTTGAATATTTGTAATAAAACAAAAATCTATTTAATTTTCCTCTTATACCATCTATTTCTCCATGAAATCAGTCTGTTTCCATCAACATAGCAGTGCTATTTTTCTGGGAAAAAAGGGGTGCCGGAACTCAAGTGTCTCCCTTGTTCTCTTATAATGGCAGATTTGCCTGGAGAGAGTCTTTAAACCTCTTTTGTTGACCTCTTTTGTACTTTTCATTTTTAAGTTCGGAATAGAGTATAGTGGGACCTCTAGTTACGAACTTAATTCGTTCCGGAGGTCTGTTCTTAACCTGAAACTGTTCTTAACTAGAGGCGTGCTTTCGCTAATGGGGCCTCTTGCTGCCACTGCGCCGCCAGCACACGATTTCTATTCTCATCCTGGGGCAAAGTTCTCAACTCAAGGTAACTCTTCCAGGTTAGAGGAGTTTGTAACCTGAGGCGTTTGTAACTCAAGGTACCGCTGTAGTTGCTTTGTAAGACAATAATCAGGCATCAGAACCACATGACCAGTCCAACAAAGCTGATGTTGAAGAGTAATTGCTTCAACACTGGTGATCTTTGCTTCTTCCAGTACAATGGCGTACGTTCGCCTGTCTTCCCAAGTGATGTGTAAAAATTTTCAGAGACACCGTTGATGAAATCTTTCAAGGAGTTGGAGATGAAGTTTATACGCGGTTGTCAGGGGCTCAGGAGCAGAGGCACAGGGGAGAGAGGAAATGGAGAGCGAAGGGGAAGAATCTGAGGGCAGCGTAGGGGAGTATGAAAGTGGCTCGAGAGATTCCATGAGTCTCTCCAGCGAATCAGAAGATTCCCAGAGGGGGGCGCCGATGGCCAGGGCAAGGGGGGTCCCAGGGGGGACACACCAGAAGCAAGGGGCCAGCGGGGACTCCCAAAGCAGTAGCGGGAGATCAGGACCAGCTCCTCCACCAGAGCGTAGTGAGGGGGAAGAGTCACGTGTAGCAGGGCCAGCTTCTCCTCCAGCAGGGAGAAAAGATGAGTCAGGGTTGGCCACGCCTCCATCGCAGAGTGAGGGAACGGAGGGGGAGTCAGGTGCAGCTAGCCTCCCCGAAGGGGAAAGCAGTGACAGGAGCAGTGTAACGGTCAGGAGGAAGGTGGCCGGCTGGGCGCGCGCGCCAAGTTCGAATGTACAGGCGCGCGGCACAGCAGGAAACCCGGATTGGGAACCAGGTCCTAAAGCCCGCCGGAGGGAGGGAGAAGACTCAGGGGACTCAGCGTCAGAAGAGTCTAGAAGAGGCGAGACCCCAGCGGACAGGCGGGCCCAGAGGAGAAGAGAGCAAAGGAAGAGGTGGAGCAAGGCTAGAGTCTTAAACTGGTGTCTGGGGGGAGGAGATTCAGACAGAGCTTCAGCGGTCTAGAGTTTAGGACGTAGAGCTGCGCGCCGCGGCTTTGAAATCGAAACTGAACTTCAATAAAGACTTTTGTAAATAGTAACACACTGGCGTTGGTCCTTTGTGAGCTGGGACCTAGGGCAGCTCTGACAGCGGTCCATGTTTCACAATCATATAGTAAGGTACAATAGCATTGTAAATAAGCGTTTTGGTTTCCCTGCTGGAGTTCGGCATCA